TGGTTTTAGAGAAAATTGGATTATATTCTATCCGACCTTTTGGGTTTCCGAAATTATCAGTTTCTTCTTTGAAGTATTGGATACAAGCAGAATGTCCTTCCCCTCCTCTCCATGCCAGCTCATGTGAAACTATGTGAAAAAATTTACGCTGCAACCCATCTGGAGTATTTTCATCCCACATTTCAATAATTTTTTTGTATTCGTCACTGGTTAAGGCTGAAGCACTCACTTTTCTTTTTGCTGAATCTCTCTGTAGTATTTTGCGCTTAGCATCGCGTGCAGCTCTGGCGGTCACAAATTCCACATCAGAAAACGGATTAAATTTTATTTTATATTTTTCGTAATAAATTTCTTGCAACTGCTTAGCAGTAGAGTTCCACATCACTTTGACCACACTTTCCTTATAATCTTCAAAATTTTTCTTTTTCATATTAAATGCGTAGTCCTCCAGTATAGTAGCCAGCTGTACTACACTCATACACTCATGAATATTATACGACTTTTCATCACAAAATTCAACAAACTGTTTCCATACACTTGATTTTGATTTTCGGGTGTTATCTGGTTTTATATTTTCAATTTCTTCTTTAATGACTTGTTGGTTTACTTTTCCAAATCGCGACATTTCGCTATACACTTCTTACTCTACGTACAGACGTTTTAAAACTAGTAATAGCTTAATGACAGAATCGCAAACAAAATGACAAAACACATAATATGTCAAAAACATCAATACCTTGGCCAACTTAACAAATTGAAATTATTTTAAAATGTCATGTTGGATTAATATTTTTTTTTTCAAATTTAGGTGTGAAATTTTCTTACCGAATACCACGCAAGCTTAAATTATTCCTGGAAATTTTCTTTCGGGCACGAATATTTTAGGAAAATTATCCCTCGTTTTCGACTCGGGATAATTTTCAAAATATTCGTGCCCTCAAAAAAATTTCCGAAAATAATTTAAGCTCTTGTGATATTATAAGTGAAAAATTTTCAGAATAAATAAATACCTAAATATTGAAACTTAATAAGTAGTAACATACAGCCACATACAGCGCCATAATATCTCGACCTCGATAACAAATAGCAACAACACATAAAAATAGTGTACTGTATGCAGAATTATATGGTGAGCCTGCATTATATGGTGCAACTATGCAAACAAAATATAAACATTTATATAAAATTGTTTTTTATATTTTTGTCAACAACGACGATATTGGACTTCCATGTTTAGGGTGAGCCAAAAAAACTAACCTATGAAATTTATGGGTTAAAATGAATCTAATAACCGAGAAAAAAATATCCCCGGAAGGCAGGGTTTTAGCTCAGATTTAAAAGGTGTCGGTGAATATTCAAAGTTTTCCATTTAAATAACACGTAAAAAAATCTTTTTCCGTTAAAAGTACCATAATTTTGAAAGGGTTTATGATAAAAAAAAATTACATCGAATTCTTGTAGAGCATAAAATTTCCGAAAAAATCTATCTGAGGGTATTTTTTTCAATTCAATAATTCGTATATTTGAAAGCTTTGAAAAAATGCAGTTTTAGCGTTTTTAGCGATTTTTTTTCACTTTTCAAAGCTTTGAATTAAACGAATTATTGAAGTGAAAAAAATATTCTCACATAGATTTTTTCGGAAATTTTATGCTCTACAAGAATCCGCGATGTAATTTTTTTTTATCGTAAACCGTTTCAAGGTTATGGTACTTTTAATGAAAAAAGATTTTTTTACGTGTTATCTAAATGGAAAAGTTTGAATATTCACCGACACCTTTTAAAATTGAGCTAAAAATCCTGCCTTCCGGGAATATTTTTTCTCGGTTATTGCAACCCGATAGGTTAGTTTTTTGGCTCACCCTAATGCACACAGATTATTAACATTATTCAAATCTAGAAAGATACTGAAATTATATAGAAAATGCTTGAATCAAAATGCAAACAAAAATATAGGAAACAAATAACAACTGTCAAATGTAAATCGATTAGTTTCATATCAATCAGTCATCCACCCAGTCAGCCGGGTCAGCTAATTGATTAATAAATGTCTATTTTTTATCAAAATAAAACGCTAAATCACCACCATACACTGTCACTTACGTTTACATTGGACACGCGTTTCGCTAACCTTGTTAGAATTATCAGCAGATGATTAAAACTAAACTAATATCTACAAATTGAGCGTTTATATACTCGCTCAGGTGGCTCTGAGTAGACGTGGCAAAAACTAGCCAAGCGAGTCAAAACCAACCGAAACAATTATTACCGAACTAGAGCAGTAGGTTTGTTCCAACACCGCTGAGAACCGTTCAGGAACGGTTCCGTTCATGCGCATAGGGCTAAAAGCGTTCCAACTATGATGGGGATCGTTCTCCAACGATTCTCTTTGCCTTCAAACCAATTTTCTGATCGTTATTAGAACGGTTCCGGAACCGTAATTTCGATACTTGCCAGTAAGTAGGAACTGTTTGTACTGACATGCGCAGTTAATACATTTTATCAGCCGATTGACATTTGGGCCGGGGCGTTTGCTTGTTTTGTTTTGTGGATTTTTTTGGAGTTTAATGGGTTTTAGTGTTTAGAATTCTTTCTATACTTAGAAATTGTCTATTTAATTTAGCTAGGGTTTAACATTTTACTGTAGTCTTTGATTTTACAGTTCACACTTTTCAACAAAAAAAAAACGAATAGTAAACCAAGTGAAACTTACCATAATTATGGTTTGTGTCCATTATTTATTATTATGTCCATTATAGTAATTTACCACTTTTTACTGTTTCCACTGTTCTATACAATTAATAAGAATGTCTGTGAAGAATATTATTAAGGTTTGTTTTGTTTACACCAAGTTTATACTTTACATCAAACAAAAAATGAGGTTATTTTAACCGGTGTTTTGACAAGACAGATTAAAAACGGTTCCGAAACTGTTCCATCCGATTGTCAATCTAGAATCGTAGAAAAACAGTGTCGAGTTAACGCATGCGGATAAGACTAGTCCCAATGATTTCAGAACGGTTCCAGAACCGTTCTAAAACTTGGGGTTGGAACAAGCCTAGTAGGAACAGAGAACTGGAAGGAATTGGGCCAATGTCTCTGGTGATAATGTCTCTGGTGATAATCTGGTGATAATATATATATTACATTTATTAATTTTGACGCTCTCATATGCATCTAATTGCCTGTAATTTGCGACTTTTTTAATTAATTTTAAATTATTAATATCTATACAATGTTCTTTATCAACAATATGTTTAGCAACTCAAGACTTATCGGTTATCCGGTCTACCATATCTCATCTAAGCCATATGTTCGTCAAGTCTAGTTAATATTAATCTTCTAGTTTGCCCAACATATTTCTGATTACAGTTTCTATATAAATTTCAGTGGAGATGTTTTATTTTTAGGATTACCTGATAACGGTTATTATTAGCACTATACAAGTTTATAATGGACATTCTTAAAAAGCTTTTTAAACCACGGGATAACTCTCTATCAAACGGTATAGAAAAATATTTTGACGTATCTTTCTCCACTTGAAAAGTCGAATTTTCAGAAATCGCAAACTTATACCTACGTTTGTTATTTTTTAAAACACTCAATGGAAAAAGTAATTCAGTAACGTGACCAATTGATTTTAAAATATTTATAAAAAACGTTTTTATTGCAGCTACTTTTACGCCTGTTTTAAGTGCACTTTGAGCAATTTGCGAGCATCGTAAAAAGTTGGACAAAACCGCGCGCAACAAAATAAACACACCCGAACATAAATAAACTACTTGACAGGAGCGAGCGCAACAAATTAATTTAACCCAATCACGATACAGACTAAATAAAAATAAAACAATAACATTTATTGTTTAAATTTGCGCGGGGCCTAAACAGCGGAAATAAAATTAAAAAACAACAGAGTTGGGGCCGGTCTGGCGAGGATAACAAATCGAATAACAAACTAACTAATAATAATCAACCGAAATAAAAATATTTACGACAAGTTACGAATTTGTTTAGTTTTCGATTGGTATACAGTGTGGTACAACTTCAAACTCTTCAAATTTGTTGTGTTTTTGTGTCTTTAAATTTGTTGTGTTGTATGATATTCAATTGTATTTCTCTTCAATTTTATTGGTTATCAAATGATCCAATCGTGTCTTTCTTAAATGTTTTAAATCGTCGAGAAACTTTAGCCATAATTGCGCAACAAAAGACGTATCTTTCTCCTTCGTATCTTCCTTCGTAGCTGTGTCTGATACTACCTTAAGTAGAGTACAAAGCGTTTATAATGTACTGAACAAAGAGGGAAAGCGAGAAACTGTGCACACTGTTAATCGAGAAAAAAAGCGAGAAACTGAGCACATTGATAAGAGACGTGGAAGGGGATATGACAGATTCGGTCCCGGTCGACCCAATCAGTACCATATCAGTACTTAAAATTCTAGGGAGGAATGTACATCATGCGTTCAGCCACACGATTTAATTACGTCTCGCGATACTTTATTTGTTTATTTATTAACGAGTCGTTGTAATTTTCCCTATATAAATTATTCCGCTTATAAATTTTTAAGTGTAAGTTAGAAACACTTGCACTTTTGGTAAAAATAAGTGGAATTGAGTAATTGAGGTATTCGACAGTGGTCGCGTTATTAGAACTCTGCATTCAAAAATCGATATCTCGAAATCCATTAGAAATAATTGATTGTAGTTTTTTTTTCAAAAACTTTCTTAATATTTCTGCTATATTCTTCGCAGACAGTATGTGAAAATCTTTATAAATTTAAAAGTTACACGATTGCTTGAAATTTCTATGCACTAAAAGTAAATGGATTGGTTTATTAAATTTTTGAATGAAAAAAAGAAGTCTATCGAATTTTTTTTATTTAAATATCTTGTAAAAGATCCGACCTTCAAAATAAAAAAAAAAAATTCCATATCTAAAGTGGTTCTTGAGTTTTCGTGTGTTATGTTGTTGAGTGTTACTAATTTTTGACTATTTATAATATCGCTGCTCCGGCAGAATAGTGACCGAACTGCAAAAAGTATAAATTCTCAGGGGAAGCAAAAAACGAAAATGGAACTTTGTTATTTGTTCCCAAAACTTTGCATTCATAGTTATGACTTTGGAAACATCGTATTAGTAACTTAAATATGGATCACTTTAAACAGTATTTAACACAATTATTATATTTGTAAAATACACCCTTAATTTTGAAGTTATGTCATTATTTCCCCAATATTGATAGAACAAAATTCGACAGTTGTGTTAAACAATTTATTATCAAATTTAACAATCGTCAAAGTATTTATAAAAAATAAACAAACAAAACTCTTGAAAAAATAAAACAACTTCTTCACCGACGAAAGTTTGAAGTTGCTTAACTTAAAATGGCTAACTAAACATTTTTAGGAACTGATAGGAACTATAAAATACTAACTGCTATTTAACTATACTAATATTATTCTAAAGTTATAAAACATTAATTTAAAATAAATTCAAAGAAAGGTTTATAAAACCCAGGGATTATTTTACTATCAATTAAACTTTTTAGGTCTTTCTTTTTATTATCAGCAACTGAAATTTTTTTTGTATATGCTGGCTTTCTGTGGATCTCATTGAATGGTTTTACCTCAGAAATGCGTCGTTTTTTAGACTTATACCCTACACAATTCCATTCCACTTGCTTGTAACTTGTCTTGTACTTAAAAAAAGCGTTCCCTTTTTCAGTCTTCAGTAACTTTACGTCACTTATTTTAAAATCATTCCCGTCTACATTTTTTGTTAAAGTAAGCGCCATTTCATCATGGATAAATTTTATATCCAAGAAGCTGTCAAAATTCATTTCTTTTACCTCCAGTGGATTACCATTCTTCTTCGCAGATCGAATTGCGGAGATATACTGCTCTGGAACGTAAATTGGACCAGATCTTTTAATTTTAGTCACCGACTTCTCAATTACGCTGTGAATCGCATCGCCTTCATTTTGAGTATGGCCACGAATTAAGTATTTGTGGGTAATAGAATTTATTTCTAAGCACTGAACAGCGTAGAGGTATGTAGCTATCATGTATCTGTAAAATAGATATCTCTAATATTTTTGTATACGTTTTTTTTATTTTACATAGATACCTGTTTTTCTGCTGGCCGCCACAATTATCCGAGTAAAAGACCACGTCGGCACCTGGGTTAGTTAGTGATAGCTCTTCAAGATACAGGAAAACACATGAAGCAATTTCTGTTACTCCTCTATTACCCAGACCTTCATGCCAAAAAAAGCACAAAGATTTGTCATTTCCTATTTCTGTTATCTAAAACAATAAAAATAATAAGAAATCTGGCATTTTTGTTTAATGGAATTTTTAAAAATGGGTAGAATATACCCATTCTGCTTACTGTAAAATTATAGCAGTTGATACGGGATTTGTAAAAAAAAGCTGATGACTGTCCAGTGGGTATTGGTAGCACCGCCTGCAAGTCATAAACTGCAAGCACACATTCATTATTTTTGGCTTTCTCTTTATCATTTTGTTTTTCACTTCGACTTAATTCTTTTTCTTCTAGATGGCTTTGGTAATTAATCTCAAGGTTTTCTTTTTCCTCTTCCTGGGAGTTTTTATAGGCTTCGCAAACGTCGCACTGGTCTTTCTTTGGCAAAAAGAAACCTATATTGAACTCTTTATTGAATATTCTTGAGTATTTATCGTAACTTGCTGCAATCTTATTGATGGAAGACCTCTGTGTTGAATAATTTCGGTATAACTCGGCTACAGAGAGGCCACCGTCAATAAATTCCCTTTTTGTATCTTTTCTGACATAGTGACTCTCAATACGAGGAACTGAATTAATGTGGTCACGTACGGACTTCAATATTTCTTCATCAATCTTTTTGTGATTTTGATGCTTGCCTCTGTTATCAGTTGGTACTATTCCAGTACCCCTTGCCTTAGACTTTATAACCGTTCTGATTGTTCTTTCATTTATACCGAGAGTATTAATTAAGAATGTCTTGCATACACGAATTCTGTGTCCTTCTTTAGAAATGTAAAAGGAACAATTGGGATTTCTGGGTTTCGCAGCTGAAATGCGTCTGTACTTTAGATCCAATTTTTCAATATGGGCAGCCAAAAAATCGCGCTGTCTTTGTAGAGAAGAGAATGCCCAGTATTCCTTAAACATTTCGTTTCTAAAATTCTCATTAATTTTTTTTGAGCATGATAAAATACATTTTTCTTTGCACGGCGGTCCCATCTTTTTTTCACCAATAATTTTCCCCGATTTTGATGTGTAGCTTTGACCACAATTTCTTAGCCTTTTAGCTTTTTCTCTTATCCAATTATCAGGGTTGCGGCTTCTTTTCTTGCCCTTTTTAGGAGATGCGGGTTTTCCATTATTTTCAGTAGTTTCTGAACTATTAAACGTTCTTTGGCGAAAAACAGCATTCTGATTAGAAGTACCAGGCATATGCTCAGACGAGTCGCTTGATAAATCTTCACTTCCTGGAGAAAAATCGTCACTAGAACCAGAAGAAAAATCGTTATGCTCTCTTGCATCAGCCGGGTCATTATAGGTCAACCTAGGAATTCTTCTTAAATTTATGCTGGTTGAGTTTCTGCTTTCAACAATATATTTGTCTGGCTTGGTTAGCTGCGTTTCCGTAACCAAATCTGCAGAAATTAATGGTTCTGGAGAAACTGATTTTATTGTCGAACCAACGTCAATTTTAGGATCACCCTTATCCCCGCTCTTAATTAAAACTGTATCCAAAACAGGAGGAACCAACGGCCCTGATTCCGCAAGTCCTACTGTTAAAGAACTGGCACTTCCAGTATCGTCATTATCAATGGGGTCTTTTTGGTTCTCGTTTAAATCTGTAGCAATAGCAAGCTTCAATATTTTGGCCGTTCTCGAGCTCATTTTTCTCCCGAAAAACTTTTTGGTACCTCTGTAATATAAATAATAGTATATTATTATTATGTATTTAAGGTAAAAAGTAAGTCTTTAGGGACCGGTGCGGGTTCCATAACGGCTTTCTCGTGTATAATATAGATTTTTTTACTAATAATGCTGAACTTCCAAACATTACCATATTTGAACTGATTATTTTTTCAAAATTAACCATTTTTCCTATTATTTAAATATATGGAAATATCAGGTAGCCAGTTGTCTAAACAAAAAGTCAAAATTTGTCATTCAAGACAGCAATGCTAATATTTCTACTTAAACACTTTTACCAAAAGAAAATGTACGTTTCGGGACAACAATAACGTAATTACCAAAAAGAGAAGGTACATTTCGGGACAACAATAACGTAATGGACCAATAAGTTAAGTAAAACCTAAACTTTTTGGGTCAAGAATGACAGAAAGTACACTTACGTCTTATTTTCATAATTTCTTTAAATGAAACGAACAAAATTTCGAAATAATATTGACATAGAATACACTTACGTCTTTATTTCACCAAACTTTTGCCAAAAAATGTCAAAAGTTTTTGTCACAACTAACACAAACTACACTTACGGCGTTTTTCTCGCGAACAAATACAGTTCTGTCCCAATTTCCAGACGCGACTGAGCAATATGTCATTATTTTTTCAACGACCGCCTAGGAACATGTGGAATTTGAAGACGACGCAACTGCCATCTAGCGGTAACGAGTGGTAGTACAGTTTCGTCATTATTTTACCATATATATTGAACATTTTAAAAGTGAATGATGAAGTTAACTCAATTTTTAAAAATTTTGCAGTTCGGTCACTATTCTACCGGAACAGCGATATGATGTTCTTGAATTTTTCATTTATGGCTTCAATAAGCAGTAAACTATAGGCTTAATGCATTCTCCGCCGGTGCTGCCACCATCGGAGAATATCGTAAACAACTGATATATAAAAATACATGGGTTTAAATAGCGAGTATACGAAAAAATTATTATATAATTATTCTAAAAGTGTTAGAAAGTATATGTGAAAATTCTAAAAATAAAAAGGTTATTTTGATATCTTCAGAGAGTCTAATTTGTAGATACTATAATTTATTATTCCAGCTAAAAATACTTTGTAGATGAGTTAACTAGGGTAGCGAGCATCGCACCGGTTTTGCAAGTAGAGTTATAATTGTGTCTATTTCGGCTATAACGACATTTTTAAAGGTACATAATTATAATAATGTTAGAATATGTTCATAAAACATTTAATCTAGATTATTAAAAAACCTAACCAAACCAACAACGTCTTAATTACGCTCTCCTTTACGCGTTAACATTTTTTCGGCAATTTTATTAACATTTGAAATTGTCACAATACAACACGACCGAAGCGCGACGCTCAGGTCGAGTTCTTTTTCACTTAATTTTGACTACCCGAATCAGCGTTACATCACACAAACCTCGTTCATGAGTGTTTTATAGTCTTAATAACTGCACTAGCAAAAAACTAAAATACTTAAATATTATGACAACCAAACCACGATTTCAACTTTGGTTTAATGCGATCAACATGACAGCGGCGTGAAATAGGTGCTGATAATTCTGATTTTTGCCGTTGAGACGCTGCGGTCGGAATTTGTTGAAATCAACTGAAATGCACCAAGCCTATAGAGAACTGCTCCTATAATACCTATATTGACTGTCAGTCTTAGCCAGTCTGTTTCTGTTAGTTTTTTTGTTCATCACTACATTGTGGTTGTTTATTTACTAGCAGTAATAATATTACAAATTAAAATCACATTTTTGGTATAGAATAACTAATTAAACGAAACGTTTCGTTGGTTTGTTTCTTTCATTACCTGTCAACATTTTAACTTCCCATCCTGTAGAGCGAAATAAATTGAAAACGTTGCCGATTTGTTTATAAACCGAAACTATCTGGGCTTTTTCCCCATCTCTTGTCCGCATTTATTTGCGTTTCGGCTTGACAAATGATCATCGTAATTGCTTTCATGTACAGTTCCGCCGCAAATTTACATATCGAGACTTCATTTGCGGTAATGTATATAGGGTTTCGCCAATAAAACGGACCATTATTTCAAATCTTTTTGTATAAATCTCCTAAATGTGAATTTGCTGGATTTTTTTTGAATCAGAAAAACTTGCATATATTCTAAATTAAATGCTTATATGGCAACAAAGTTGAAAAAGTAAGATTTTGGCCAACTGTATAACAATTTAAATGAAATAAAGGAACTTACTTTGTTGTTAAATTGTAAATAGCCCTACTTATTTTATTAAATGAAATGAAAGGAGTGCCGTACTCTGCCTGGAATTCACAAGTAAAAGAGCACGACAGAGAAAACCTTAATCACTATTACAAAGAATCCAACTATGCTGTTCTGAACTTTAATAAGCGAGAAATAATAATAGTACAGAAACTGCCCTCATACTAAGGTTTGTAGTTTCATACATTCAAAACATGCCATATTTATTACATTCAAAACTGAAAAGTTTTTGTTAGTAGTCCCCATCCACAGGTACTTATGTCTGGTTTCGAGGCTTGAAGCTAAAGTTGAATTTTCGGTGCCAGTACCTTTAAACTACTAGTTATTTTATTTATTATTTTTGGTTGCTCATTTGTTTGCTAAGATATTCGCCCAGTCACGGAAGAAAAGTATTAGTAAACAAGGCCCTTATTGTCACACTGAACCTTTTAAACTGAAATCATTGACAGCATAAATTGATTCCGCTAAATACATACATATATACACATGTTATACCCCGCTGGCAAGCGAACCTTTAGGTCGGCGTTTACATGTATAGGAGTGAGTCGTTATGGCAGTCTGATAAGTCGGAGTGAGCAAAAATACGAAGTATTTATTACATAACTACTTTTAATCTGACGCTAGATTCTATGCGCTTGGGAAAATACTCGCCTTCTGTCTTTATTCAGTACATCTTATTTTACTAAGCGTATTGACCGTACTCTTCGTACACATGAAAACCGGCACCCAAGGCCAAAAATACCGACCCTTAGTATAATATCTGTCAGACCAAATAAATAAAGAAACGCTTTAGCAAACAATATTACAACACTAGTTACACAATATGTTAACACTAGTTAAATAATGAGAAAACATTTACTTTACCTTTAATAACATTTTTTGTCACAATGACTAAAACTTACAAAATAAAATAATATCAGTGCGTCTCGAACAAACACCTATCATCTCTGTTCGTTGTCTGATCTACCTCTCCCTAGTTTGCGTATAATATTTTAAAAATCAATAATTTCATTTATGTATACAGAGTGTCTTAAAACTGAATGTATTGAATTTAAAACAAAATATGTTTATTTTTAAATAGGCTGGTCATCTCAAACTATTGCAATAATTATTGGTCGCTCCTTAACACAATATAAGTTCGCACAATAACACACAATAAGTTCGGAGCACTTGTACAGGGTAGTCCGAACTATATTCCGGAAAACAACAAGTAAAATAACATAATATACAATACACAGAATAAAGATAAGATAAAATATTTCTAAATTCTAAATACTAAACACTAGAACCATCTCAAAAAATCAAAATCTCTAGAACCATTACTCGTAGCGATTTTTACCAAGAGACTTTTTCTACGTAAAAAATGTCGTAAATGCATATTTTTTACCCAGTGGTTTTATACAGGTACGGACGAAAAGTTATTACTCTTCAAAACAGTTAAAACACATGTAGGTAGCGCCCCTTACAAATAGAAGTTATATTGACATCAAAATCAAATTTCTCATGTTAAAAAACTTCCGGATACCAATTTCCATCCAAATATTCACCTTACTTCAGAAATTATTTGAAAAAAAATCGAAATAAAAATGAGACTTCTACACCCTGTATCTCCGAAACTAAGCATTTGAGGACATACATTTATACGAACTTTTTTACTTATTTTTAATTGCAGAATATGCCGCCGAAGTTTCCGGAATACGGTTCGGACCACCCTGTATATTTATTGCTTTTTGTATTACCAAGAGACTTTTTCTACGTAAAAAATGTCGTAAATGCATATTTTTTACCCAGTGGTTTTATACAGGTACGGACGAAAAGTTATTACTCTTCAAAACAGTTAAAACACATGTAGGTGGCGCCCCTTACAAATAGAAGTTATATTGACATCAAAATCAAATTTGTCATGTTAAAAAACTTCCGGATACCAATTTCCATCCAAATATTCACCTTACTTCAGAAATTATTTGAAAAAAAATCGAAATAAAAATGAGACTTCTACACCCTGTATCTCCGAAACTAAGCATTTTAGGACATACATTTATACGAACTTTTTTACTTATTTTTAATTGCAGAATATGCCGCCGAAGTTTCCGGAATACGGTTCGGACCACCCTGTATATTTATTGCTTTTTGTATTATACATAAAATTCTAAACATATTTAGTATTTAAAATAAAAAAAACGTCGACATTTACACAAGAACCATCCTGTTTTATTTTAAACTCACTGACCAAAACGTCAGGCCTTTTCTTCTTTATAATTGGCCAATTAATGGACGAGGACGAAAGTTTAATCTGGAAGAGAGCGCTCGACGATCTCCAACGACCGGCCACCAGCGCCGCCATTAAAATAAAGTATCGGCAAGTTGGCCGAACTACTTAAACGTCCGGGAGAGGGCCTCTATTATTAATGGATTCGTTTATTGAAAAATTATTGCCCTATTAGGCCGAGAGAAACCCCACTCGTGTTACATGGCTGACGTTCCAGACGGGGTCGAAGTCCGCTTCATCGAAAATACGTCTCTTGGCCGTAAAACTTGTGAATCCATTTCCTATGCACGTTAGAGATGGATCATTATTTATAATTATTTCTTATTTCCTCGAAACATTACAAAATACAAAAATACAATGTAACATTTATACCAATAGGTATGGAACAATATTAAAATATTGTTCACACAAACTAAAAGCCGAACACTAGAACCTGGATGACTCCATCCGTAACCTGGAATGAGAATCTTGCAATGGTCTAAGACACTCGAAGAAGCTTCTCAGAACTTACCACCAAGAAAAATCAATGATTTTCCTTGATTTAAAATTAGCAATCTCCGGATTGTCATGGGGTTTAACAGGACACTCAATGAACACCTCAGTAGATTAAAACTAAGAAAAATGTCGAAAAAAAAGAGTCATCACTGAGTGCGTCGAGACGACAACCATTCGTGCCATAAACTTTGGTACGACTGATATTGGAGATGGAGAACTAGCCTCTGTAAAGCCGTATAGATACTGGCTTTTGTCAAAGCCTTGAGACTGTGTGATGAATTATAACTCATTATAACTCAAGAAATGGGGACGCAGAATAGATCTGTAAGGTCGCGGTGATTAATTCCCTTCCCAAACATTCTACATTCCTGAAGTCACTTTTGTTTAAATTAAGCACTTCTTTATTTTATGTATTGAATATTAGAAAAAATTAGGGAATTGTAGCAGTTTTCTACTAAATATATACTATTCTGTTTTTTCTGGTCATAGTGTACAAAGAATTGATTTTTGTTTCCTTGTTTCAGTGGATAAACTACCGCCTGGATTTCCACAGATCACCGAATCCCCACAGAATAACAAGGTAGTCGAAATCGGTCACAATACATTGCTCAACTGTGCCGCCACCGGTAATCCACCGCCTAAAATCACGTGGCTGAAGAACATGCTGCCCATCAACCTGACAGTCAATCCTAGATATTCCATCCGTGATGATAAACCAGGTGAGTTTTGTAAAAAAATTGAAAAATGAAAATTGTACGACCTTCAAATTTTACATGATATCCTTGTGTAGAGTCGGAATCGACATCATGACAGCCCGTTCTTTGACAGTTTTGTTTGACGTTTTTATTTTTGTCACATCAATGACTATAGAATACAAGGAAGAAAATGACACCTGTAACCAAATTGTTACAATACCTTGTGCATACCAGTAGTGCCGTGGCGCATATTTTTCTTAACATAGACGCCTGAAGAGATTATTTTTTTGATAAATGTTTTGACTACGCCTATTGTGTATGCGGTGGTATCATACTAATTAATTGCGAAAAGAAACATATATTAAAATGTTAACAAAAAGTACGAAACTAGTATCGACCGCACTATAGCTTGATATAGCACATATCAAGTACATATAATATCAGAAAAATAATTATCGTATTCAATAAAAAAAACACTAAAAATGTGGCGTGGACTGTTTGTTTACCTATGAAATGTAACTCCTGGCTCTTTCTTATCGCTGTGACTTTTACACTTGTAATAAAGTTTTTACAAAGTTCACTACACACAAGCTATTAAAAATCGCTAAAATTGTCGCTGATAACCAAAAAAAATGGCGTCTAACATCACAAATTCTGCTGCAGCCCGTATATGGACGTTAGATGTCCTTGTATTCTTTAGTCATTGTGTCACATATTTAAAATTGATTTGAATCTTCGCGGATTTGTTGGGATTTTCTCAGTTTATTTTATATTATTTTTTGTATTATTATTTTGTATTTGTATTACTTTTATAATTGGGTTTATGTAAAGTGTACACAATTTGAAAAATACACAAATTTTGAATCAGGATTTGAATTAAAGGAAGATTATTCTGAATCTTAGTAAGGGGGGGGTAGATTTCAAAACAGTTACCTACAAAAAATAATGGAACAAATTCTTCACTAGTAAATATGTATTACCGGGTATTTCTCAAAACTGGCAAACCCTATAATTTTTTTTATTTTTTTCAGATAAAAAAACGAGATTTGATACGTTAGTGTATGGCAATTCAGAATTGATTGACTCCTAATTTGACTTGAAATACTAAGTGTGTAGTGCCATATTATTTTTATAAAAATACTTTTCCCAAATATGCTAATGAGCCACCCTCGTTCCATTTGAAAAAATTGAGATATGATTAAAAATACGATTTGGGCATCTTTTAACCGACAGACTTTACTTAACCGACAGACACGAAAAAAAATAGACGATCAAATCTATTTTTCCAAGGCTTCTTGATTAAAAATCAGTGAAAATGTCAAATGTTGACATATGATCTAGCATTCTATTCACAATGTCATTTTCCATCGAATAAAGTAAAAAAATACCAAGGATGCAATTTAAAAATCAAAAGTTGTAGTCATTTCCGCTGAAACAGGAAGTGACCGAAAACAATTGAATACGTCAATCAATCCTAATTTATGTCATTTACTAACAAACCAAATTTCGGTTTTTTTATCTGAAAAAATATATAATAATATAATAATAATGGTGGGCCCTTTTAAGAAACACACAGTATAATATATGTTACGAGTAGTAGTAAACTGATTAGTTATGCAATTCATTTAGAATAAATTTGTTAATAAGTAATTATATTAAGTACTTAATAACTTATTCAAATATTCAAGCTTCCACCTGGAGCGGGATTTCTATTTATAAAATAGCTAACTTAAGTGTATTTGGAAAAAAAATACTTTTTAACTTTTAACTTATGTGATTTCTAAATGGTCCATTTTTTCACGCCTCTAACTATGTTGTCACGGCAAAGACAACAAAAATTGCTCTTTTTCCAGCCACGAATAGAGGGCAACAATAAAAACACGCCGGCTTTCGTTTTCTCCATCTCCACTCCAGGTCCCCTTTTTAAGTCTTTTTACTTATTTCAACAAAGTCTAAGTGCACTCGGGCTGTTTGTCGTCGCGATGACGCCTACGGACCTCGCAGTTGACACTTGGGGCCTAAGCGGTGCGGTCGTGTGAACCAGCCACTCCATCTCGCGGAATAGCGTCGAAAATATCAGGTGACGTCAGTAAGTGGGGACGGGAATTGGAGATGGGGAGTGTAGACGTTCGGGTTAAAACTAGACGATTTGGAGAAAGTATATATGTTTAGGTTATTGGAGAAATGTATAGAGTTTTTTTTTCAAAACTCGTTCATTTAAAGCTTTTAGGATCTAAATTAGATATAAATCTGGATGTTTTAGGTTCAGGATCATTTTCAACGTTTACATAGAGTCCCATTTTAGCGGAAAATGAAGGATTATCTCTCATTAGTTAAGATAAAACCTTGAGGTTTCCGGGAACCTGCGTTAGTATTTGTTACACAAAGATGCCCGTAACTTGTCTTGGCCATCTTACTTTCCATGGCATAAGGTGATTTTGTAAATGTTGCAGATAACTTATCATAAAGGTAAAAACGGATTATTACAGAAATTTTTACATGGAATCGCTAAAAGGGGCTCTACACGTAACGATTTCTGAGAGATTTGAACTGTACAATCTTTCGATTCAGTTCAAAACTCGACGTGTAGTTGCGGGTCCGATAAAGATCTCAACGAAGAGACGAGATCTGCGAATTTTCAACATGCTGTATATTTTTAATTGCACAAACCACAGACTTGGCGGGAACTGTATTAGACTCTATCATCATCATCATTTTCAGCTTATTCAACCATTTCCAATTATGGTCTAGCCTCCCTCACATATTCTCTTTGTTGTTGTGCCCATTGTTGTCTATTGTTGGGGGTCCAAGTTATCCCTACTAATTTCCTAATATCATGGTCCCATCTCAGGTTTGGTATTCTTCTAGATCTCTTAATTCCTCGTGGGTACCATGCTGTAATTTTTGTGGTCCATCTGTTGTCATCGCAGGTGTCCTGCCCATTGCAATTTGAAGGATTTGACTCTATGTATGACATATATTACCTGGGTCTTTTGTCGAATCCACTCTATTCTTTTACGGTCTCTCTTGGTTATTCTTAGCATATTTCGTTCCATTGAGCGTTGTAGGACCTGCAGTTTCCTTATGATGTCCGTTTTAAGCGTCCAGGTTTCACATGCATAGGGCATGACTGGTAGTACACATTGGTCGAATGTTTTCTTCTTTAGATAGAGTGGCATTCTAGACTTGAATATGATTGAGTTTCTTCTTAAGTACTCGATACTAACCTAATTCTTCTGTTGATTTCTGGTACTAGAGATCCCGAGCTGTGTATTAGCTGTCCCAAATATATATATTCTTCTACTATTTCCAGTGTTGTGTTATTTATTAGAATGTAGTTTCTTTCCACTAGTTCGTTGTGCATTACTTTAGATTTTGCTAAATTCATTTTGAGACCCACTTTATTGCTGGCTGTATTTAGTTCACTTATGAAGCTGTATATACTGACTCGGACTATATAGACTCACGATATTATCTTTTGTAAAATCTGAACGTGTAGTGTGAAAAGAACGCTATCGATTTGGTCTTAAGATCTGCACTGAGCAATTTGGCATGCAGATCATATCGTCCACCTGACGTTTTAACAGTGGTATTCTATGCGTCCATTTCTCTTTATCTAGTCTGGTATCATGTCCAGCCCATTGCCATTTCATCTCAGCCACTTTCTGAATTATATCGGTAACTCTTGTTTATATCCTCATATTTTCATTAGGGTGAGATCCTAGCATAGAGGTGGGAATTCTAGTTCCTTGGGAGGAATTAATTCCTCCTAGAGTTCCTTGAACACATTCCTAGAGTTCCTTGAACTAGGTCTTTAGATCACGATAGTTCCCGACTAACATTGACATCCCCGTTGCTTGAACTATTCACAGTATGATCTGTAGAATTTTTATAATGTACGAAATATAACGAAACGTGTAATCGTGTATGTTAAAACCATATAGGTAAGTTTTACTACATATAAAAAAGAATTAAAAAAGAATCTCAAATCAGAGTATAAAAAACTATATTATAAATAATAACGAAACAAATAATACGAAAATTTTATGAAAAATTGCTTTTTTTCTCACTTCAAGCTTTTAGTTTTTGTCTAAAAATTCAGAATATCTATACCTCGTTTTATATTTCTTAGTGTTAGGGACCTGAAGTGAAACATTCTGATAAAATATTCAAAGAACAAACTAAAATTCAAAAACGGTATTTACGACAATTTTCTGTGGGAATTACGCCGGCTGTGGCAATAGACAATGCCGAATCCGTCATCGCCGCCTTGTATTATATCTCGGATCTACCGACTGAATAGATTCCCGTGAACTAGTCTTTTAATTAGTTCCTCTAGTTCCTCTCAGTCCTTTCCGTCCGGACAGGTAAAATACGGCTGGTACGCTCCACTCCCGCCTAGCATCGGGTTACGATCACGCTGGCCGAACCGTCGCCGTCGCATATTATTATTTGTATAGGTCAGTCTCGATCCCGGAATAGGTCCTGATGAACTAGTTCTTTAAGAAACCGGGAATTAGTTCCTTTCTACTAGTTCGTTCAAAAACTACACACCTCTACCCTAGCAACCTATGCTAGGCTAACTCTTTGAGTTTGTAGAATAGATAGTAAGATATCTTTAAAATAACACATCGCCTGCATACACATTATTAAATTCCAACTCTTTTTTACCTCTTATAACATTCACCAGACTTTACATGTATCCAACACTTTCAAACACACCTCTCGTGCATTAAACCATCGCAACCAATTATCCTCCCGATGGGGGCGCTGCGGGGGGATGTTTTTCCCCGGCGCGTTCGTTTTCCCACACGCGCACCACGTCCAAATTAAATTTGAGAAGGAAAACAGGGAAGACGACGGTGCGGCGGGAAGAACGTCACACGATATTGTGGCTCGTTCCCTCGGGATGTGACGGGAAGAGTTGAAAAGATGTATTAGCGGTGCCGAAGAAAAATGTGCCCCGTAGTTCGTTTCTTCTTGCTCGTATAACTTTGCGGTATAAATTGTGCATTATACTCGTC